TGCTCCTCGCCCTCCCCCCTCCGTCCCCCCTCCCCTCCCCTCTGATCATGTTGACATATTCGCACGGCACCGAGCAGTGGGGATGCTTTGCTGCAGCGTTACAGTTTCCGACACCTTCTTTTTATAACTCGCCTCTGTCCCCCTCCGCTCGACCTGTCAAAACCACGCCTATGGAGCCACACAATTGGTCCGAAAGCGTCAAAGAGCCAATCAAGTATGCCGCAGCTGCCCTGCAACCTCACAACACATCCATACAATCCGGTGCAGCCAGGCAGCCAAGCTCAGACACACACACTCACACGGCGGGGTCTCGGAGGCGAGCGCCTCTCCCGACGAGTCTCGCCGCCCTCTTCCCGGGCTCGCCGCGACTTCTGCCTCGCCGGAGCTGAGCGAAGCTGAGCGAGAGAGGAGGAGCGCCCGGCTGCCCGGCGCGAACATTCAGAAAGCAAAGAAATAGCTGCGATCATTTCCTTTTCCTTTTTTTTAAAAAAATAACTGCTTTGAAGAGACAAAGAGCGGGAAGGCAGGAGAAACCCAAAGAGGACGCCGGAGAGGAGACAAGACAGGGGAAGAGGCTGGCTGGAATCAAACTTTGGCAAAGGCACCGCTGCTGGGGGGGGGGGAGGGGAAAACGGAAGCCACATTTTTCCTACAACTTTTCGAGCGCTGCGAATCGTAAGAGACCTGATTAGAAGAAGAGAGACCTATATATATTTTTAGTTCGTAGTTTCTTCTACTCCACTCACTCTCTCGCTCTGTGTGTCCCTACAGGCGCACGCATTCCACCTTTCTTTCCGTTTTTTTTGGGGGGGCAGCCGCAGGACGGGGGGGGAGCTCACCCTGTTCCCCACCGACTCCCACTTTTGCAACGCAAGAGCTCACCGGAAGAAGCCGGCCGGCTGGCCAGCCTCCCCGAAGCAGATCTACCTGCACGACCGCCGTCTCCTTTCTCCCCTTCGCTCCTCCATCGCCTTCTGGCAGAAACCGTGGCCACGCTTCGGGGGTCCGAGGGGCCTTTTCTGCCCCGCACGATTTCCTGTTCCTCCCAAAGCAGACTTTGAGTAAAACCAGCCCTCAGTAGAAGCAGCTTCCATCCAGGAGGAGGAAGCGCTCCGAAGCGCCTTAGTTCCGGGTGAAGATGTTTCCCAGCTTGGAGTCGGCGGACTGGACTGCCTGATGGCCGCGTGTGTCACCCTCCTGCTCACACCCCCTCCGGTGGCTCGCCGCCTTTTCTGACGACCCCCTTTCCCCTTCCTTCCTCCCTCCCTCCCCTCCTCCTCCTCTCCTTCTCTGGTGAACTGCAGCTCCAGGATGAGCTGTTAAAGGCCGGCCCGAGATTGAGAACTGGTTCAGGCCGCTGGAAGACCCCATCCGAGGGAGGCGCTGGATGAACATCTCCATGAGAGAGCCCGTGATCCCTGGGACCAGCATGGCTTACCACCCCTTCCTACCTCACCGGGCCCCGGACTTCGCCATGAGCGCCGTGCTGGGACACCAGCCCCCTTTCTTCCCGACCCTGGCGCTGCCCCCCAACGGGGCCGCGGCTCTCTCCCTCCCCGGGGCTCTGGCCAAACCGATTATGGATCAACTGGTCGGGGCGGCGGACTCCAGCATGGCCTTCTCCTCCCTGGGACACCAAGCGGCGGCTCACCTGAGGCCTCTGAAGACCCTCGAGCCGGAGGAAGAGGTGGAGGACGACCCCAAAGTCCACCTGGAAGCCAAGGAGCTTTGGGAGCAGTTCCACAAACGGGGCACCGAGATGGTGATTACCAAGTCCGGAAGGTAAGGCGAGGCCGAGGCCGGGGGAGCGGGGTCTCTAGACCGCCTCTCTTCTCCTGCTTCGTTCCCTTCTGCTGGCTCGAGCAGACTTCCAAATAGTCCGCCTTTGCCAAACCGCGGGTGGGTGGGGGTGGGTGGGTGGGGGAGAACAGCAACAATAATGTTGCCTCGTCTGAAATGGTGGAAATGTTTTGGAAACTGTGCTAGACGCTGGCCATATCCTAGGGACGTGTGCCTGCAGTGTGCATAAGCCTGTGTGTCTGTATTCACTTGCACATGCAGACACAACGCATGCACAATGCATAGTAGGCGTACGCGCTCCATTTCCCTTTGCATGGAATCCAGACATCTTCGCCTGGTTGTACCTGGTGGGAAAATGGTGGTCGGACTGCTTTAATAGCAGCAGCCTGCGATCCCCTGCCAGTTTACTGGAGGGTAAGCCCCATTGAAATGAATGGGACTTGCTTCCGAGGAAACAGGTACGAGGCCCAGAGACTGCTACACCAGGGTACTTTCTACTTGAATTAGAACAAACACACACCCAAAAAAAAAAAAAACCACCGCCAGAAACAGATCTGTTCAATTTTTTCCCACCGAAAGGAAATCATGTTCTTGGGCTGCGTGCTGAAGTAGAGTTTCTAGAGGAAGAAAGTCACCGTGAAACCCACTAACATGAAAAGACACAAATGCATTTAGGACCTCCGCACTGAGTGATGGGTTTGGGGGTTCACTTGGCTCTATGCAGGCCCCACTAACTGCAGGGCTATTTAAACCTAGCTGATCATGCGTTAGATAATAGTGCAGAATAGTTCCCCCCCCCCATTTAAAAAGTTTACAGTTCTTTGAGAGAACAATGGCGGGAGACGGAATAAGAAGCCAAAGACAAGGTATATTTTTCCCTCGCACATCACTACAATTAGGAACTACCTAACTGACACTTAATTGCAATTCTTGCCTCTAGTGCCTATGCAAAAAGGCCACCTTTGGGAACGTATACCACCCCCGAGAAACCGTGCTTTTGCAGTTCAAGGCAGGACTTTTAAAATGTATTTGTTTCTTTATTACTGCAAATAGCATGAAATGGGTGCAGAAGGCTGCTGCAAGGCAGCGAGGAGGGCTGCGGCCCTCAGTTTTCCAGGAAGACTCCGGAGAGCATTATCTACTCTTCGGGGACTCATTTGTTTTAACGTTAATTTTTAATTTACGTGCGTGTGTGGGAGTGTGTGTGTGTGTTCTGGATAAAAGCGAACTTCGAAGGACACCCTTTGTAGTTTGGAAATTAACTTCAGGAACTGGGGAGGGGTGTGGCCATCTTCCTACGACTCCTATATTTGTGGATTAGGAACCTTATCTGGAACATTATTGTATGTGATACTATGGATTCACACACACACAGGCATGCATCGATGCTTCCATTCCAACAAGGCCCTGTTTCCTTTTATTTTTCACATAGAGAGTGTTTACCTCCCCTTTTTTCAGTAAAGCAACCAATCTAGATGATGAAGCCAGTTTTTTTTTAAGTGTGTGTGGTGGGGGAGGGGAGATCCTTTTAAACCGATGGGGGGAAACCCATTTCTGCAGAAAAATCAGCAGCTGAATTGTCCGGGGAGGACGACCGCTCTGTTTGACTAAAGTCTTCGCCTTCCTTGTGTCTCTTCTCTTCCGCCTCTCTTGTCTGCCTGTTAGGCGAATGTTCCCCCCATTTAAAGTGCGGTGCACAGGGCTGGATAAAAAGGCCAAATACATTTTGCTGATGGACATTGTGGCGGCGGACGATTGTAGATATAAATTCCACAATTCCCGATGGATGGTGGCCGGGAAAGCCGACCCCGAAATGCCAAAGAGAATGTATATCCATCCGGATAGCCCGGCTACCGGCGAGCAGTGGATGTCGAAAGTCGTCACCTTCCACAAACTGAAACTTACTAATAATATTTCGGACAAACACGGATTTGTGAGTGATTTGCATTTTTTGTTTAATTTGTGTGCGGCGGTCCCCCCCCCATTTGCCCCCCTTTTGCTTTTCTTTGAGGGGGGGGGGAGAGAGACAAAGTCTGCAAAGTAAGCAGGGCTTAGGCCGAAGTTGAAACGTGCAGCCAGAGTTAAGGCCCCGGGAAAATGCAGTTCGAGACTAGGTGAGGCGGAGGGGTTCCTCTCCAGGGCTCTCAATCGCAGCAGCAAACTTCGGGCACCGAGGGCCTACTTGTCGACTTCATCTGTAAACTTGGCAGGACTGGCGTTGAAAATGGAAGGTAGAAACAGAGAATAGTTTTGCATTAAATTTATGCTGCTTTATACATACACGCACATGTATATGTAGACATACGCCCTCTGCAATAAGCAAACTGGATAAGTGGGGGGAAAGGGGGGGACAGAGAGGAGGGAAGCGCTTATGCAAGCCCCGTGTGGGGGCAAATCAAGACAGGTAGCCGTGTCCGTCTGCCTGTAGCAGAAGAAAAGAGCAAGAGTCCAGTAACAAACGTTGTGGCAGGATAGGAGCTTTCGTGAGCCGCTGCTCACTTCTCCAGTGGGGGCCTACGCGGAGTTGAACTGCCTGAATCCCAGCCGATTCCGTCCCCTAATCGTTTTGAAACCCCCGGCAGGTCTTTTTGAAGGGAGTCGAGGCCTCAGGCCGCCAGTGGCTGCATTAGCTGGTTTCCTCGCCCTTCGCTGTTTACTGTTAGCAAATGGAACTTTAAAGCAAACACTCCAGTAATAAGTGCGGCAACCGGATCGATACTGCTGCCTTCGGGAGTAGAGGGAGAAGAGCCTGGCTCGCTTTAGCAGGCATTTGCCGACCTTAGGCGCTAGCGACAAGGCCGTGGAGTTTCCAGGCCCGGCTGGAGCTCTCTCTGTATTTATAGATTCCAAGAGCAGCTTCGGTCCAATTTTCGTTAACTGCCGCGGGGCTATTTTCGTTTCGAGGGGGGGGGCGTTTCCCCTCCATGCCAAATATTCCCAAGCAACAGACCTTGTAAAATGGCGGGCAGGGGAAGGCTTGGCCTGGCTGTCGCGGGGGCTAGTCGGCAGCTCCCGTTCAGGTGGACGGGGACCCCCAGGTTCTCCTCTGACCGACTCTTCCCTGCCCCTCTCTCCCCTCCCCGCGTCCCCCCCCCAACCCCGTTGCAGACTATCTTGAACTCTATGCACAAGTACCAGCCGCGGTTCCACATTGTCCGGGCCAACGACATTCTAAAACTGCCTTACAGCACCTTCCGCACTTACGTTTTCCCGGAGACCGAATTCATCGCGGTTACCGCATACCAGAACGATAAGGTAAGGGGATTAAGGGGAGTGTATTTAGGGGGAGGTGGGGGGGGGGAGTATGCTCGAGCCTTGGATCACTCTTTGAAATTGGCTTAGAAAATTCCCAACATTTGGGCCTCTCTCTACCCCCCTCCCTCCACTTTCCCTTAGGCCGCTTGCAAAATCAACTTAAAAGGGGAAATTAAAACCCTCCTGATGGCGAATGTTCAATCTATCCAGAGAAAGCTCATTACGGGGGGGGGCGTTATGAGGGGGTGGAGATAGATTAGATTTTGCCTGCTCTGTGCGCCTGTGCGAGGATTTTCTGTCTTCATTCATTGAAGCTGCCATTGGCAATGGCAACCCAACCAAAATCTGGTTTTTATTATATTTCAACACCACCACCCCGCAAAATATTGCAGTGTTTTTATTAATAGATTTTGGATTCTTTAACGGTGTCTGGAGGGGGTATAAGCATGGAGGAAAGAGCCCAGTCTAGTAGCCTTTCCCAGGAAAAGCTGGGCCAAGCTTGGAAAAGAGAGCGAGAGAGAGAAAAGAGTGTTTTAATACCACCCTCAAACCGACGCCCATTTATTATCATAATTCTGTTTATAGGAGGCTGCCCACCAGAGTGGGAGCCCGGCCAAGGGGGAAATTTATGGTAATGAATTCAAGGCGAAGGACTCCCCAAAGGTGGTCTCCGGCCCTTTTGCTTGCTGTACATTAGAGAGCTTTGGCGTTTCGGCTCCCTCCCTCCAAGAGCCCGTGGTTGGTGAACTTTGGGGAGGTTTGTGAGGTGGAAGCCCCCCGGGGGGGGGGTTTCCTGTGGTGCAGCCAGACTTACTCAACTGTTCACCTCCGTTGTAGTGAATGTGACGCACTTCTGTGCTCAGAATCCGGATGTGGGGACGGGGAGTGGAGGAAGGGGAGGTTAGAGCGGGACTCTGGTCGGACGACTTATCTGGTCTTCTCGTGGTTGTTTTGGTGGATTCTTACGGAGATCAAGGCCAGTTTGGGCCGGCCACAAAAGCTTGCAAAGGACTAGCCGAAGTATGTTTCCAGTCTCTCCGTAGTTTTCAGTGGAGTGGCCCAGGGCCCTCCGGCTCAAGCCGTCTCGCGTCTCCCTTTCATTGACTTCTCCCCCACTTCGCTGGGGCGGGCTCGGCGGGCTCTCCCCCCCCCCCCCACCCCTCACCCCGTCCACACCAGAAAGCACCTCCCGTCCCAACGAGAATGCACTTGTCTGACTGCCGTGAAATTTACGTGTAAAAGCGCATTGTAATTGAACCGAAGGGCCCTCGCCTTCCGCCTTATCTCGGGCGATCTCTTGCAAAGGTCAGAACCCGCATTCCAGCCCTCACCTAGGCGGGCCCCAGTCGGATCAATTAAGTCCTTTTCTGCGCCATTCGAAGGTAATGGGTTGACCCTGCTAGGCCTCCCTTGCACTGACTCCAAACCGAAAGGGTGGCTCGGTGCTCTCGGATCCCTCAACCGTTTGGAAAGCAGAACTGAACCCAGGCCGAAGGGCTGAAGGACAAGGAGGAGGAGAAATACGGTTCAGAGCTGTAATGATTCTATCCAGAAACACAGCAGGCTCTGCAAAGTCCCCAAGGGAAGCGAGGGAAAGGAAGGAGACCTGGGACGGATCTTTTTCGGATCCCTTCCCACCTTTTGGGCCCCAGCAATTCCTATTAAGAAAAGTGAATGGCCGCGAGTTACGTTTCTCTGTGTCCCGGGGATTTTACAACTGAGCAGGTGCTTTCCTCTCCCCCGCACCCCTGCAAGGAGTTGAATGGAACTCGCCAATGTTTGACTTTGGCCCAAATAACCTTGAAAAATAACGTCAATCGGGAAACCAGAGAGGTGCAAATATTTTCAGCGTGATCTCCGAAGCTTGAAAAGGGCCATAGATCGCGCGAAAAGCCTTCATGTTTTGCACAGGATACACTGTGTTAGCCCCCTCTCCCCCCTCCCCGGTACACCCCACCCCATCCTTACACATACACACAAGCACGATCGCTGCAGAAGGTAATTACATAAAGTATTTTATTATAGCAAGCGGGTGACCACCGTTCCTTTGCGGTTTAATTATGGCAGGTAAAGAGTTTAAACTGAAACATAACTTTTAATGGATGGCAGGGCTGCGTTCCATTCATTCCTCGGCGGGGGTTTAGGAAAGCCAAAAGCAAACAGCCACGGCGGTGTAATTGACTAGTCCAAGCGGAGATGTAATTGACTAACAAAATGGCCAGGCGTACCCTTTGGCTGCTTATAGGCGCCCCCAAGGTAACCGGCAGTTTGGCTGTAAGTGTTAGGGAGACAACTCTGACAGGTGGCTTTTTAAAAAGATGCCTTTTATTTTATTTTATTTTAAAAAAATAAATCGGTGGTGCAGGTTCTAGTAATCCTGAGCAAGGCCCGTGGAAACGAATGGGATTGCTTGGTCGGTTGTCATTAATTTAATTGGATATGCATAGGAGAAGTTCCTACTGGGACTACCTGCCCTGGATGTGGAAGGGGAAAAACTTGCAAACAGAAATTATTCTCCCTTGACTATATTCCCCCACCCTCTCTTTTTTAAAATAGATAACCCAATTAAAAATCGACAACAACCCATTTGCTAAAGGCTTTCGCGACACAGGGAATGGGCGAAGGGAAAAAAGGTAAGTCCGTGTGTACTCGTGTGTCTGGTCGGAGTTCGCAACTTGGTAGGGGAAGTCCAGAGGTCAGCTGGAAAAATCTCTCTCCTCCTTCGAGGTATTTTGGTTAACAGCCAGTTGTGCTGGGATAGGGGGAAGGAAGAAATGTCTTCCAGCCTAATTAGGAACTGTCGAAAGAAAGAAAGAAAGAAAGAAAGAAAGAAAGAAAGAAAGAAAGAAAGAAAGAGAAAGAAAGAGAAAGAAAGAGAAAGAAAGAAAGATTGTTTGCAATCTCCCAGTATGGCGTTCCATGCCACCCAAGGGAGAAATCTTCTCCCCAAACTAGGATATTGGCTGAGACATGTGTTTGTAATTGTCACCCAGCTGCAACGAGAAATGTCGAGCAGAAGGGTGTGTGTGGCGTGGCGGCAATGTGGCAAGAGCTGCTGATCTTCTAAAACGTCGCAGTAAAGGGATCTCCTCAGAGGTTGTACTAACCTGATCTTAAGCCCATGAAGTGTTTGGTTTCAAACAGGACTTCATGAGAAAAGGGTGAAGTTTAAAGCCTGCAGTGTGAGACTGAAGGGGAAAATAAGACTAAGCAAATTGCGATTTGGGTGGCTTCTTAAATGGGAACTGGATTGGTCATTATGTAAGGCATCCTTCCCATGCGAATATTTCTTTGGAACTGTGCGCAGAATGTTCAAATACATGGAAACTGGGTATCATCCAGTCATTATTAAGCGGCCTTTCAATTCAAGAGACATCTAGCCCAATCCTATATGCTTTATTAGAAATAAATTAATTGATTTCACAGGAATTGAAGCCGAAGTCAGAGTGCATAGGGTGGAGCTGTAGGCATGTACTTGAAATAAGGTGCTTCTCTTTGGCTGGATCGTGCTCACCGAGTTTTTCTTTTACCATGAATGATATAGAACAGCTTTGTATGGGTGGAGGAACAGACGGGTCAGAGAGAAACGGAGAGCGAATATTTGACTCATCTCGCAAGAACAAAAACACTGATTCCCAAGATGTATAAGATTATATCTAATTTCTCTCTAATTTGGTTTTGTTGACAAAACTATTAATTGTTTGCTGAGACTATGACATTAAAACAATTCACCAGCAACTTTGAAGATGCTGGATATTCCAGTAGCAGCTTACCATTGTAGAATCATAGAATCCTAGAGCTGGAAGGGACCTCCAGGGTCATCTAGTCCAACCCCCTGCACAAGGCAGGAAATTCACAAATACCTCCCCTCCCCCCACCCCCTGTTGTCTTCCCTCCTTGTCCTTCATCTCTGCTTCATTCTTTTTTTGATCACCACGCCCAAACTTTACCAAACTTTGGAAATCTGAGTAGTTCCCTTTGGAATGAGTGATCTGCAGAGCATCTGTTTCAGACGTTACTATAAGAGGAAATGGGGGGTGGGATTGCATTGTGTGTATGGAGGGGTATGTGTGGATTTTGAAGAAGGCCTGTGTTTGGGTTGATCTGGCCACAACTGGCTCAGACACAAAGACTTTTGGCTTTCCGATGCTTCCTTCATTTGGAAACCAGTCCGGTGCAGTTGGTTTTAATGGACAGCCCCTCCCCCTTACCCCTTCTGCCAGGAGAAGCCCTGCGAGCCACTGCTAAACAGAAAACTCGAATCCCCTCAAGCGAGCACCCTGTTTTGCTCCAGCAGAGGAACTACATGGAAGCCTTCAAGGGTCTGATGTGGCCAGTAGCAATCCCACTGAGTTTTAGGGGGCTGCTCTAGAGTAAGTGGATCTGAGGCTTAGGCCACCATTTTATAACTGTTAACTCCGTGGAGATCTGTGGGACTTGAGTTCCCTCGAGGTTGGGTTAGAAACCAGACATTCCTTCCTCAAATCCCTACTGTTCCTCAACAATCAGGCGCAGCCCACTCACAAGGGTGCCTGCTGGTATTCATTGAGGCTTACTTTTCCAGGGTGTTTAGGATCGCTGTCTTAATTTGGGGGCCGCTTCTGCCACATTGGAAGGCGGCTCCCAGCCCAGCTTGGGCTTCATTGAAACGGGTCCTGGGCTGGACTGCCTGGTGTGCTTGCGCATCCCTCTGATACATTGTTGTATCTTTGTTTGTTTTGCGTTGGAACCCACCAGTCTCTCTCTCTCTCTCTGTCTTGCTCTCTACAGAAAACAGCTCACCCTTCAGTCCATGAGGGTTTACGACGAGAGGCAGAAAAAGGAAAACGGGACCTCAGACGAGTCCTCTAGCGAACAAACAGCTTTTAAATGCTTCGCCCAGTCCACCTCCCCCGCCGTGTCTGCGGTGGGCACCTCAAATCTGAAAGGTGAGGACACTGGTCTGTCCCTCTCACCGTAGATTTACGTTGTTCTCTGTACCAGGAGACTTTCCTTGCTCCCCCCCCCCTTTCAACTTGTGGGTCATTGCCTTTTTGGCGTGTTCTTTGAGTTGAAAGGAGCTCGGCTGGACAGAAATAATATGTGTATACTTCTTATTTTTAAAGGTGATTTTGCAAACGCATCTGCTGAAAAGGCTCCAAGCATTAAGAAATCCCACTTTCCCCTTCCCGCCTTGTCTCTATATTTCTTCTGTGGTTTGAAGGGAGTCAGCCAGCACTGGCTGAGGCAGGGGAGCAAAGACAGACCACGGGGCAAAAGTTCAGTGTTGCAACCACGCTATTAATATTCATATTGGAATGTTTTTTTGTATTAAGGAAGGGTTTCTTCCTCTGCTGCCCCCCCCCCCTTCAACCCCACACGACTGGGCAGAAAAAAAAACAGAGAGATCTTTCTTTCTTTCTTTCTTTCTTTCTTTCTTTCTTTCTTTCTTTCTTTCTTTCTTTCTTTCTTTCTTTCTTTCTTTCTTTCTTTCTTTCTTCTGTCCATGACTATATGGACTGCAGTGGAAGTTTGGCAGCGTGGCTTGAAGTCTGTTGTACTGGCAGAAGGAATGAGAGTTTAATTTGATTTTTATACTCGGGCTTTTTTTTTTTTTAAGGCGGACTTTGGCTTTCTGTGTGCGCGTGAGAGAGAGGCTGCCTGGAGAGAGAGTCTCTCTCAAAGGCGTTCAACCTGGAAGGAGAAAATAAATGGGCTTAGTGTATATCGCAGGCAGTGAATCCAAAGCTAGAAAGAAGCCAGACCCCAACCTAAGCTTGCATGCATTTGAAGACGAGGAAGTGTTCCAAGAACAGAACAGCCGCATAAATAAAACCTGGGGAAATGAAGGTTACCTTTCCTTTTACCACGACTGGAAATTTATGGTGGAAGGAAAGAGGCAACTCTGGTGGAGTGCAGAGGTTGACTTGCATGCAAAGAACTTTCGCCGCCGCGTTCTGTTAAGGGCGTTCGACTCTGTCTCGTGCCTCCTCGCGAGTTGACCGTTCTCTGCTTGAGACTACAGGTTCACAGCGTAGGGCTTTGTCCACAGCGAGGGCTTTGTCTCCGACGGGGAAAACAGAGGGCTTTGTCTCTGACGGGGGTCGGTTTTCAGGGCAGGGCTTTGTCTGGAGGACCCCGGTGTCGGCTCCTTCTGGCAGGATCCGGGCCATACCTTTCTGAGAAAGCCGGCAGGCCTTTTAAGTCTGCCCAAGTTTGGCCACGCCGAGTCTTCCAGGCCTGGCAGAAGGAGGCTGCCTGGAAGAGCCTGCCAGCGAAAAAAAAAGGGGGGGGAGACACACAACAGAAAGGGCTCATTTCCTGTGCTGTTCGCCCTCCTGAAAGTGTTGGGTCCAACTCGGAAGGCCTGTGCTGAAGTCCCAGATTGATGGGGGGCGGAGGAGGGGAGGTCCTCGTGAGGAAAGGCGGCTGGCTCGAGTCCTCTCTCAGAGCTCCTCTTCCCCCAGCGCCTCCGAATCTGCTCCTCACCTCTCTCTCTCCCCCCCCCCACACCTTTCCCTCTCCAGATTTGTGTCCCAGCGACGGCGAGAGCGACTCGGAAAGCAAAGAAGACCCGCTGGAGGCCAGCGACGCTGGGAAAATCACCACCACCACCACCTCGACCAGCACGGCCCCCAGCCACCACAGCAGTTCGGCGGCGGCCCCCGGCCCCGGCGGAGGGGCGGGGGAGGCTCGGGAGAAGCACAGCCCGACGAAGCCTTCCCTCTACCCTCCGGACTCGGCAGGCAGCCGGAGCCGAGAGGCGGCCTCCAAGGCGGCTCCGGACTCCCGGCACAGCCCGGCCACCATCTCCTCCAGCACACGCAGCCTGGGCGGGGAGGAGGCCAAGACCCCCCCCCAGGAGGACTGCAGGGGAGGCCTGGCCAAGGAGCCCTTCGCCCCCCTGACGGTGCAGACGGACGGCGGCGGCCACCTGGCCCCGGGACACCTGCCCAGCCTGGCCTTCCCGCCCCCCCAGCAGTTCTTCAGCCCCCTGGCCAACGGGCACCCCCTGCTGCTCCACCCCGGCCAGTTCGCCATGGGCGGCGCCTTCTCCGGCATGGCGGGCATGGGCCCTCTGCTGGCCACCGTCTCCGGCGCCACGGCGGGAGTCACCGGCCTGGATAACACGGTGATGGCCACGGCGGCGGCGGCCCAGGGACTGTCCAGCGCTTCGGCGGCGGCGGCGGCGGCGGCAGCGCTGCCCTTTCACCTGCAGCAACACGTCCTGGCCTCGCAGGTATTTATGGCCCCCTCCCCTCTTCCCGCGGAGGCGGGAGCCGTGGGGGGGGGGGCGGGGGGATGCGC